CCACTCAGCCAGACGAGGTCCACACAGATCTCTTGGCCGGTGCCAGCTTTCAGGATGTTCCCTGGGATTCGTAGCTACTGCCTCCGGTCCTCTGTCTCCGACCTGGAAAACGCCATCACCACGTCCTCTGCACCTGGGGACAAGCGGAAGAGACTTGCTGGATGGGCCTCCGGCACCGGGTGCAACCTGGGAGGAGGCAAGGAGGCTGTGGCCTCAGGTGCAGCATCGGTCCACCTTAGGGAGGTGCTTTCGAGTACAAAGCACTTCCCAGGAAGCCCACCTCCCCGCAGGCCTCCCCTGCAGCCTGGCCAGGCGATATGCCTGCAACCGGCTGCAGGGCTGAGGGGGGAAGGGGTGAGGCTCAGGCCTGCTGAAGGCTGTACCGCTAGGAGGTGAGTGTGAGAACCCAGGGCTCTGCTCACACCGTCGCTCCAAAGCCACCAGTCAGGCCCTTCGGAACCTCCCCTTTTCTTCCTAAGACTCTTGTCTTGATCCCTTCGGAGGACCTTGCTCATTATGGTTTCTATGAGCCAGGCCTCTTTGCCCAAACCCAACACCTGTTCCAAGGAGCAGGCGGTCTGGCTCCATAGGAGACAGATAGCGGCCATAATCTTTATTGCTGCTGTTTTTAGTCATGGACTTGAGGATCTGGCCCAGGCACTCATGAAATCACTTCCTTTGTCTTGTTTTCCATAAGGCAGGCTCTGACACGCAGCCAAAACCGGCAGGAGAGGGAGGGAAAGCGCCTGGAACCCTGACCTGCCTCCCACCCAGAGGTGCTGGGAGGAAGGAGCTGACTTAGCAGCAGACCCTGCAGGGCAGGTGAGGGAACTGGGGTCCCCCTGCGCCTCTGGCCCTGGCCCTTCCTGAGTCCTGCCACGTTCCCCCCTTTTTCTAAAGGATGGCTCTTGGCTGCGCCCAGAATTGGCGTATTTCTCTTCTGTGCTAACTGGAGGAGTTCTCCGGGGAGGGAGGACTGGAACAGCAGACACAGAAAGGCCACTGAAGGGGGAGTGGGCGTGGGAGGCGCGCAGTGGAACTGGCCTGTGAAACGGCTTCCGCCCCCAGGCATGGTGCTGGCCGCTTCCCCACCTCAGGGCACCCTCTCCTTCACTGGCAGTCGCCTGCTGACCTCCTTCCTACCTGGCTGCCTCGTGGACGACGGAGGGGGCACCCACCAGGGGCGGGAGCTGCAGGAGGGCCCGCCCACAAGGCTGGATCATCGCAGAAATGCGCCTTCCATTGGCACCAGAGCACAGGTGCTGTCACCACCCACCTGCCTCGATGGGGCTCTGACAGCGCACCCTGAAAAGGGGAATACGGTCTAGAGGAGCTCAGATCGTCTGACTCCTGGGGATGGGGCTCCTTGGCTTGGGAGGCCCTGCAAATCCTCCCTGTCTTCTCGGGGACATTCTGTTCTCGCCTCAGTCCCAGGACCACGCAGAATTTTCCTAGCAACCACAGAGTCCAGGATTACATCATACCCTGCGTGGCAGCTGAGCTGCTACCTAACAGATGCCAGCCTTCCCCAGGCCGCCTCCCCAGCTCGCTCATCAGTGGGGGCTGGCCGGAGACCACTGGAGGGGCGCTGTCCGCTGTCCGCACAGGAAGCCTGGCTCGCTGAGCAGAGGCAGACACGCGCTCTTCCTGGCCTGCCTGGGGGGCTTCCTCACAGGGCCCTGAGCTGCAGTCACACAAACAGCACTGGCTGCCCCGGGAGGGATGGAGTCGGCAGAGGGAATGGCCACTGCTCCCCGGAGGAGCCCAGGCCCAGGCGCAGGGCCCCTGACACCCCAGCTGCCCAGCGTGTGCCCCCAGCCTCTCCATTCTATCAGGTGGCCTGGCGCCCATCATCAGCAGGCCCCTCGGCGAGGACACACCTTTCCCTCCCCTTTTCTCCACGGGATTTGGGGGTTACCTAGCAGGGAGGGTGAGCTGCTCAGTGAGTTCCCATGAGTCAAGCTGTCCGAGCTTTAGAGCCACGAGGGACCTCAGAGATGATCAGCATGTGGTGTCTCCCGTGGGTGCTCCCACTGTGTGGAGTCATGGGACTCAGAACAGGAAGACACTGCACAGAGGCCAGCAGCCCCGCCCACTGCCTCCAGGCGGTTGGCTAGGCTTCCTCCCCCCTTTACAGGTGAGGTCGTCCACCACGTGGGCACTTCTGCCGACACGTCTGCACCCGGGCTCAGAGCTCCTGTTCGTCCCTTCCCACCAGGACAAAGAGAGCCAGAACCAGACAAGACAGCAAAGGAAAGAACTGCAGACCAGGATCTCATATGGCTACAGATACTCATCACACCTGTGCTATGCAAAAATACTAAAAAAATACTAGCAAACTGAAAAAAGCAACACAAAATAATTACATCCTCTGACCAAAGAGAATGGAACCAAAGCCGGGATTTAAAAAACAACATCAAAGCGGCCCTCGGGCGCCTTGGAGAAAATTCAGCATGGAACCCAGAATGCTGCCCTGGGAGTGGCCCTGCCCCCGACACCTGTCCCATGCCCCGCCCCCTGCCTGGCCACTGCCTGCCAGACACCTCCCCGGCCCCTATGCTTTTCGAAAGCAGGGCCCAGGCCCTGCTGAGGGCACAGCTCTGAACCAGGGCAGGGCACGCAGTGGGCCATCTCAGCCCACGCCCAATGCCAGCTTTGCCCCTTTAACAGAGTCCAGTCAAATGACTGGGGAGAGAAAAATGACAACTATGCAGGAGCTTGTGAAAGGGAAGCTGGCCCTGAGCGGGGGCGGGAGACAGACAATGGGGAGCTGGTCTGTTTCAAGCTCGGGATGAATTCACAACAGCAGCATGGAAAGCCCAGATCCGGCTCCACACCCAGCACCAGCCTGGGCCCAGGTCCCAGCTGACGACGGGGAGCTACACGTGGCCATCAGGAAGCCCAGCTCACTGCAGGTGCTGGCCCAGGAGGCAGTGTGGTTTGGAGAAAGCCCACAAGGCGCTCAGACAGTTGAGGCTCGAAGTTGAAGTCTTTCAAAGGTCTTTCCATCAATACACTAGGCACCTCAATCTGTGTCCGGAATTGTGAGAACATACCCCTATCAGCCACATGTGAGAACTGGGTCCGTGATGGTGGATGAAGAACAGGAAGGTACAGGAAGATGGCGCGGCCCTGAGGCCGATGGGTGGA